CACACAGGCTGGGGCCAGTCCTTTTCGTCCATTCTGTCGGCCATTCAGCGGGGCGTCAAGCGGGCCTGCGAGAGGTGTGAGAATGGCATCCACGTCGGCCTCATCTGCATCGCTGTGGGCGCGTCGGGCCACCAGGAGTTCGACCGCACGGCGACCTTCGCCCTCGAGCATCGCGACGCCCTCGTTGGGTTCGACATTGCCGGCTCCGAGCTGCACCCTGAGCAATACGCCCCTTGGATGGACAAGATTCACGAGGCCGGGATGCCCATCACCATACACGCCGCCGAGGTACAGTACACACCCTCACACCACACACGACAGCCCGAACGGTGCTGTCTGTGTTGGTGTGTCAGGATCGTGTGAGTGGCCTTCCCGAGAACGCGGCCATAGCCGTCGACCGCCTGCATGCCCGCCGTATCGGCCACGGCATTCAGACGATCAAGGACCGGGCCCTCTGGCGGCGCCTCATCGACCAGCAGGTGACCTTCGAGCTGTGCCCCACGTCCAACTATCTCACCAACGCGGTCGACAGCCTCGAGGCGCATCCCATTGGCGAGTTCCTGAGCGGGGGTGCGCGCGTCTGTCTGAGCAGCGACGACCCAGGCATCATGGCATGCGATCTGCCGAGGGAATACGAGGTGTGTCACGAGGTGCTGGGCCTGACGGAGGATGACTTCCGCCGGATGAACGTGACGGCACTCGAGGCGTCTTTTTGCGACGATGGTGTCAAGGCGAGTGTGCGCGCCAAGTGGGCCAATTGGTTTGCAGACAGCAAGCCCGACTGCGTCAAGGGGGGGTGAGATAGATGAGTGAGTGTATATGATGTGAGGGCTCCATCTTGTGTTTATTCGCAGCGGCTGGTTAATATGTGAGGGCTGGGCGGGGGATGATGTGTGTTGATGTTGACGACCGACGCGACCATGGATCAGACAAGGATGAGTAGGACCTCTGTGTGTGTGTGTGAGGGTGGGTAAACGGTAGGCGGGACTCTCAAGCCAGATTTGCCACAAGCTCGCTGAAGAATTCTGTTCACTCACTGCGCTGGACATTCCGGAATCCCTCATGTAGACAGCACACCCACATACACACACACGTGGCTGCCCTCACTGCACTGTGGTAATATATAAGAAACTGACCAGACGGCGCAAAGTGGCCTGCCGGTCGCCTTAAGCCCTCAGGACATACAGCCTACACGCACATCACACAGCAGGCAGACGAGTAGAGCATCGATCTGTAGGGCCTAACTAATAAAGCGTAAATAAAGCACAAACAGGCAGACAGGCAGGCAGGCAAAGATCACTAAGTTCGACACGTCACAGCACGGCACCAGATGTGCATATCCTCTCTCTGATACACTCTGCTCCCTTGATCGATCGCACAACGCACCGACTAACAAATGACGCAATCACTGCTTCACTGAATGAATGCACACATAACACGCACACACACACACACGCCATACCACCGTCTGTCTGCCCGCCCCCTCACGCCACAAGTCGCTTTCTCAGCTGCTTCATCTTGGCATCGACTTCCTCCACCCGGGCCACCTTCTGTGTCATTGTCGTGTTGCTATCGCTGAGGATGGCCTCCCTCGTGTGCTGCCAGGCACTCTTGTCCAGCTCAGCCATCAGCCGCACCGCATCACTCAGCCGATCCAGCTCAGCCTTGTCCGTCACATCATGGGCTTTGATGGCCTCGATACCCGCGTTGAGCGCATCAGTCGCCTTCTGGTTGTCCGCTCGCAGCGCATCGGTGGCCGCCTTAATCTCCGCTTGCACAGTCTCATTACTCGGCAGCGTAGCAACGTTGGCAGCCAGGTTGTTGTTGTCGCCTCTGATGGCGTCGATGTCCGTCTTCAGCGCATAGACGCCGCGGTCGGCTCTGAGTGCGACGCTGTCGGCTTTGATGGCCTCAATGTCCTTCTGCAGGGCGGTGATATCCGACTTGAACTGCCAGGTGAGGTACAGAATGAGGGCGAAGACGGCGACTACTGCGACGGAGCCGCAGCAATTGATGGGAAGAAGCTGGTCGCTGACGTGCTTGTTGACGCGCTTCTCCAGTGCTTTCAGCTGCTCCCCGGCATCGGCGGCATCGACGGACAGCGCAGGCATATAGGGCACAGGTGTTCCCTCCGTTGCGGGAGGGGCACTCGCCTCGACGTCGGGATACGCACAGGACACACAGCCTGACAAGCATACCCACATCCACAAGCCTACGCATGAAAGACAAAACGGATGCGTGCGGAGATCTCTGCCCTTACCTCTTCGTCGAGGGCGTTTGCTTGACAAACAAATACAACCCAACTTGCGACAAAACGGGCGGAGATCATCCCCAAGCTCGCCGTGAAATGCGAAGTCAGTGTGGCCAGGCCTGCCAGGCCTGTCACCCTGGAGTGAACAGATCTTGTCCTCATCTGTCCAAGAGCCATGACTCGGATCGGAGAAGTGTCGTCGGCGTGTGGTTGGTGCTGCTGCCGGGGAGCCTGTCTGTCGGCGGTCACCAGCTCTGCAGAAGCAACATGCAGCGGATGGCACACAGGTACATACGTCAGCAGACGGACACACGAGGCAGGCAGGCAACAATTCATCAAGGGCTTGCGTGTGTGTGCAGTCTGCCTTCGTGCATCTTGGCCGCCCCACGGTGCCCGTCCCCACAGCCTCGTCACTGCGTCGCATCACCCGCCACGATCGCTTTGTGGC